AAAAAAAAAAAAAAAAAAATCCTTAAAAAACCTCTTATAATATAAATTTGTTATGAGTGCAAACAGTATAAAATGAAAATAACTTTGTTATACCAAATGCAGAGATAATCAACTTAACGTTTTGGTATATTTCCTTTCACATCGTTAAAAAATAACATTGGGATCCTATGCTCTATGTAATTACAGATTGTTTTATTTACTGAACAGGCCATAAGTATTCTCCCATGTCATTGAACATTCTTCAAAAATTTCTAATAGTTGTATAACATTCTGTTGCATAAATGTACCATAATTTAAATATAGTTAAGTTGTATGTTTAGGTTTCTTCCAGTTTATCATATAAAAACAGAGGTAAGTAAATGTATATAAGCAAATGAAAAAATGTGGAATAAATATCATAGTATACAAATGCTTATCTATATCTCTGATTTTTTCTTTAGTTTAAATTCCTAAAAGTAGAATTACTAGGTCAAAAGGTATGAACACTTGTGTATTTGATGCAATGTGGCTAAGTTACCTTCTAAGAAGACATAAGTTTATATTTCCAACTAGCATTTCACTTTTAACAACACTAGATATTATCATATCTCTAAAAATGGAGTCTCTTTATTTGCAGTCCTATGAATACTGGTGAGGTCAAACATTTTTTATATTTATTATACATATTATAATGTTATAAATTATTCCTTCATGTCCCTTGACAGTTTTTCCATTGTTGTGTTAATATTTTCATAGTTAATAAATAAGATTTATATATATATAACTATTTGAACCCTTTGCCATATTACAAACATTTCACAACTTTGTCACTTGCCCTTTAATTGTTATGGTTGATGGTTTTAAGTTCTTAGCATTCTCTGATGGGAAAATTTCATCAAAATTATTTTATTTTTATAGCACTGTTCTCAATTCCTTGATACATTTCATATGTTAGGTCTACTTGACTTCAGAGAGTTTAGTGATTTTTTTTTTTTCATGGACTGTAAGAGTAGAGATTCTATACATATGATTTTACTCTTAGGGAATTTACATTCATAGAATAACTAGTGTTTCATTAATCTTTATTAAACTGAGCTCCAGTAATTTGATTATCTGATGACTAAAACGCTGGTTGGGGCTGATTTTTAATATTACATTATTTTCTGTAAAATGGTTTTCTAAAATAAAGAAAATTGCAGGATGTATACTATATGATAAAATAACACTTTTAAAAGCACTTTAGAAGAATATGAATAATAGTTCATACTTATTAAAAGTAATTGCTCTTAAGACTCCTAAAAGGCAATTTCTTGTTAGCCTAATGTAAGTTATTAAATTTGTATTACTTAAAAAATAATAAGTAGTAAAAAAAATAGACCATAATTTCTCTTTTTATTAATTGACCATCCTCCTGTTCATCCCAAATCAGTAAGACACTTCTAGAATTGAATTTCATATTCCAGAATTTTAACACGTTATCTACATGTGATTAAAAAACTGATAAAATCTCAAGGATAACTTCTTAGCCTTTTATGTCAGAAGATAAGCTAATTATGTGTGTTTATAGGAAATAGACTTCCTTTAAAGAATATACAGCATATTTTATCTAACAAGGCAAGCCTTTTTACAGAGATAACACATGTCAGACTGTAGCCAATGCGAAGTGTAATCAAGCTTTTTGTCAAACAAGTTTTCAATAAAAGAGTAGCCATGTCAGAGGGAGATTACAGGTGATTTACTACAGTCTTACTCCACATGTTCCCAGGGTCTCTGCTTTACAGTTTCAAAGGGTGTTCCTTTTTCAGTCCCATTTAGTGTCAGAACTTCATTGACTACAGGATATGAATTGGAAAGCAGCCAAAGAAGAAGAATATCCTTGCCTAGATTGACTGTTTTTATCCAGATTAGAGTTTTTTAAAAATAAAATTGAATAAAGGAGAGAAATGTAAACTAAAAAGGAATGGAAAACTTATTTTGTTGACTCTTGATTTGGAGTTACCTTTCTCTCTTAAAATGTATAATCTCAGACATAAAATACAAAACTTTATTCTAAATAAAGAATCAGAAATAAGAGCCTGTTTATTTTACCTTTGCGATATTATTTTTATCTATTAGTTGACAACTTTGTGTGTGGGAAATTCTCGCATACCTTTTAGAACAATATTCATGCATGTTTTCTTGCTAGATAATTTTCTAACATCAGACATTTCTGCAGTGAGGTTTTCGGAACATTTTATGATATATATTTTATGAACAGAATCTTCTAAATATATTCTAAAACTCACTTAGTAGTCAACTTTTTTTTCTTTTTAAAAGTTCAAACCTTATAGGAATATGTGAGGTTATATTATCAACTTATGTCATAAACATCCTGAAGCTTTTTAGTATGATGTCATATTATGAGAAAACAAATGATACTCTAGAATATATTTGTTCCTAAAGGCTATCCAGCCTATAACTTGTACTTTATAGGGCTCAATTTTTATATATTTAGGGAAAATAAAAGAATGATAGAAAGCAAATCTGGAATTAAATTGAAATTTTCAAGCTTCCTTCAGGAATTAAAAAAATTGTCCTTTCAGAGTTATTGGCTTTTTGAATTAATGTTTATAACACCAGTAAAGCTTTATACTCATTTGTGACAACAGATTAACCTATTTATTAAATAAAACTATATCAGGTTCAGAATATTTTAGAGTTAATATAATACTCTGTTCACTTTGAGATTATTGTTTAGTAAAGATCACCAAGTATTGCAAACACATTTTTCAAATGAGAAGGCTAAAAGCACTTTGGAAGGGGAAAGCGGTGGTTCAGCAGCTGTTCATATTCATCTCAGTGATCAGCAGAGTGCAGTATGGCCATAGTGTTCCATTGCGTTAGAGGGATATCAAGGAGCTTTTCTAAGCTATAAAGCACTGTACAAAAGTAAGGTACTATTAGTAAAGTAGCAGATCTTTTCTCATTATTTTGGACCCATTCATAGTCCAATTTAAATGCTGCTCTTTTTATATGTGTTTTATAGGTTAAACCTATAATTAGATTAGAGTTCACTTTTGAAAATTACTTAACATTCAGAGTAGGTGATTATATATTCAATGTGTCCTATAATCTCTGCCAATATTATGTTGCTTTGCTTCTTTTGTACTTTATTGCCTCTAATTATCCAATATATTCTAATTTTTTCCCTATTATGTCAGTATTCGGCAAAATTTTGGGGCTGGGGCAAGTCTGTCTTTACATGTGATCTTAATGGTCTCAGTGGGTGAATTGTTTTAGGTAAGCATACTTGGGGATAACCAGGAGTTAATAGTTGTATTCTAATAATAGTTAAAAGTACACATTAACAGTTCATTGTTATTTAGACCTCTAAGATGCATGTTTTGTTTAAATAGGTGCAAATGCCATCCAGATGCTTATAAAAGTATTTATTGGTAATAGAGTGGCCAATCAAACTACATGTTTAGGTAATGATGTCATGGTGTTATTTAATATTTTACCCTAGAACAGTGTGCAGGGATCTTCATAGTGATCCACATGTTTTCCACCACAGTTGTCCTGTTTGGCCCGTCTTTGATCTACATGCTTCTTTTTAGCTGAATGCTGGTAAACGTCCTTTCTGACAGCCCCCTTTGCTCCTGCCTGCCATTATCTGCTGAAGTTCAGAAACCAGAGCATCACTTCAAACAGCAGAGCTAGGGAGTAGCCAGTCAGAAGAGATTCCTGAGGCATGCAAAGTTCTGCCATAATCATTCAAAGATGTTTGGGCAGGGGGTTGGGGGTGGTAGAGGTGTATGTGAATACAGAGAGCTGTGGGGGTTGGCCTCTGGTCACTGGTAAATAAGTAAAGTCAGGTGCCAGAGAGTCTAGACACAGTGATTTCAGTCGTGGGTCTTTGGTATCTGATACTCAATATGGGACTTGTCTGATTGAGCACTATTGCCTCTTCATTGCACAGGCTGAAGCCCTTTTAGTGCCTTCCTGTTAAATTAGTAAAAGATGACAATGGGCATAGTTAAAGCAGAACAATCTAGTTTTAATATTTCCTAGTTGTCAGCAATTACACTTACTTTTGAAGTGCCATGGGTAGCAGTCAAATTTAAGACATCTTGCACATAGAGTTCGAACTAAACTATTATTTAAAATGTGAATGCTTTAATTAAAGTTGAAGTGTTTCTCTTTCTTATTATGAAAAACTAATTCTATATCATGATACATTTAATTCACATTTAGTCCTGATTTCTCTTGATTTTGGGGATTGAGGGGTGGATAAGATTTCAAATCATACGTTTGTGTGTTTTTAATCTACCTCCTGATTATTTCACCACAGGATGTAACATGGAAATTACAAAAATAAAAACCCTCAGCTTCTAAACATATCACTTGTAACTCCATTTTTGAAGGGCAGTTTTCATACCACAAGGTTAATTTCAATTAAATAGCAACAGATATTTTGCCTTCTTAAAGCTTTGCTTTGATATAACATATTTTGTTATTACAAAAAACTTGTATCAATAAGTTTGGAAGAAATCTATAGTAGGTTTATAATGTATATGACAAACATACTAATTACACTAATTAGAGGATTGTCACCTACATTTTTATTTGTCATTTAATTTTAATTGGCAGTTAATTTATAGATAGGTAGCAAAACTGTTAAATGTATATCCAATAAATTTAGATTACTTTATAAGCCGATAACATTAATTAATAATTCTTTACCCAAAGATTCCATTAGCAGCAGCATTTGTGGTTAAAGAGCTGCCCTCTGGAAAAAGGCATGATACACGCCAGCCTGCTATAGTATTTTGTAGTTTTCACTGTATAGCAGATCATATATATATATATATACAGTTTTATTAGAATTGTACCTAAGTATTTTATTTTTGGAGTAATTGTAAGTGGATTTGTGTTTTTTATTTTGGTTTCCAGTTGCTAGCACATAGAAATACAGTGATTTTTGTGTGTGGACCATGTGTCCTTCTTGAGACTTAGACATTATCTGGAACTAACATAGAGAGTAACCAAAGCAAGATTTAACAGAATAGGGTCTAACCAGGCAACAGATAGTTATTATTCACTTAGTGGATATAAGGCACACAGGTTTCCGAAAGGCATGTTGATCTAAAAAGGTATTTCTCCAAGAAGAAACATAAGATATTTTTAGGTTATGTATTAACTTCTATATGTTGTTAGCTATTTGACTTAGGGGAAAATATCTTTACATAATATACAGTATGGTAATTTGCTGATTTACTAATAATAGAAGACTAGCTTCTCAAAACTACAACACAAAATTTGTTCATCTCTCCTCTGTGATAGCCCCTATCTCTTATCATGACAAATCTAGATTACTGCCAAGTGGCATAGGTAGCCTACCTTTCCCTTCCTACTTTTCTCTCTGTGGCTTCTCTGACCGTCTCCCTTTTTCTTAACTTTAAGTAGAATTCTTTTCTCATTTGATACCCAGGCCCAAATAGTTTGATCCAGCCTACAGCTTTAGTTGTCAACCATATGTGACAATTCCTAAAATTATGCCTCCAGTCCAAACATTTCTTCTAAACTCAGGCTTGCATTTACTTTTACTGAATAGCTGTACTAGGCTCTTAAATAGGCCGCTTAAACTCAACATCTAAAACCAAAATCACTCTCTTCCCTTTAAGGTTCTCTCCTACTCGTTTCTCTTTTTTGGTAAATGTCAGCACCACCCTCCATGTTGGTGCAGAAACCTGGAGTCATCTTTGACCAGTCGTCTCCCATAACCCCAAAATCTGGACAGTTATTCAACCCTACTTTGATTCTTTTTGCTAAGAATAGCTCCAGCCATCCTACCTCTATCTCCACTACTCTACGTTGGCTGGGAGGCCATCGTCTGCCTGGATGTTTCCTCTACCCTCCTAGCTGGTGTTTTCCTTACCCTATTTCAGCCTGTTTTCTACATTGGCCAGATCTTTCTGAAACCCGGACCTTATCCTGACACTTTCCTAATTTAGAAGCTTTTAATGGCTTTTCATTATCTTTAGGATGAAGCTCTAAATCCTTAACATGTGCTTCAAGACCCTGCCTGATCTGGTTTTTACCATCTTCTCTCTCAACGCTGTTTCCTTCACTCCAGTATGCTTGCTTTCTTTTAGCTCTTCAGTGGAATCATGTTCTTTCCTGCTTGTAAATTGTCCAAGGTGTTTTCTTTGCTCAGGATGCTCTACTTTTACACAACTTTAAATTCCTTAAATGCATACGCTTTATTTAATATTTCTTTTGTATTCTCCACTTTCCTTGGAAGTTTGTATTTACTGCAGAGCATCTAGTAGTTCATTAACTATTTATGCATTTAGTTATTCAATAGTGAGAGAGTGTATCACTGCTATGTGTTGAAAATGTAATTGTGATATATTATTTACAACATATGACCTAAGATAACACATTGTGATAAAAGAGTGATTCAGGGGGTTTTGTGTGTTTTTGAGTAAAATATTCCCTGTGCTTCTTGCTAGTTAATGAAGATGCTCTTTGAATGTTCAGATGAACGAATTGACTTGGAACTGATTTCTTTCTGCATTAATCTTGCTGCTAACAAAAGGAATGTACAGCTTATCTGTGAAGGTTAGTGCCTTTGAGTTTCATGGATAACCTCTATCATATAGCAATTGGCATATGATGGAAAATAAATCATAAGGAAGTAAAATTATAGCTATAATACAAAAGGTCAGATAGACTTAGAATATTCTTACACCATGAGTAGAAACCCTTCAGTAACATTTTATAAACCAAGGTCAGTTACCCTTGAAGTTTGATTTTTAAAAATAGTTTCTAGATGAAACAAAACTTTTTAATTTGCAAAGTAATCTATTACAATGTAAGATAGTACAATAGAAATGTGTTAGGTATTTATATGTTTGTATAATATCTTCACAGAATTGCTTGCCATGCATTATGATTATTTCAGTGTCTCCTTGATAGTTTTTTCTCATGTGAAAAATATACATGTTTGTTACATAAAGTGCATATGAGCAGGTAGGAAAAAAAGTTAAGTCTTTACTCTCACTATTTAGAGGTAATCATAGGTAAAATTTTGGTGCAATGCTGCTACATATTTTTAAATTAAAATGGGTTTCTTCTATGTGTGGTGATATTTTTTAAAGTTAATAGTATATTGAATATCATTCCGTGTGATTAAATACTTTTATAAAACATAATTGCCAATTGCTGCAGAATAATCCATTGAAGGATTTTCTATAGTTTAATCTGCTAATTTGGAAGTTTCATGTGCTGCCACTTCTTTTCTGTTACAATGATGCAGAGATTTTCCTTTCTCTGAGGTTTTCCACATTTCCATTTTTATATTCTTAGGATGAATTCTTAGAAGTACAGATTTTCTGGGTCATTGAGCATGTACATTTTTAAAACTTGTGGCACATATTCCATACACAAAAGAGCACATACTGTGAAATTCCATTTATGTGAAATTCCAAAACAGGCAAAACTAATCTATGTTTAATAAGAAAGAAAAGGAAGAGAGGAAGAGGAGGAGGAGGAGGAAAGAAGAAAAGTGATTATATTTGGGGAGAACAGGATTGGCTGGGGCACAGGGAACTCAAGTGAATGGGAATATTCTTTATGTTGTTGCGGGTGTGAATTACATGGGCATACGTTTATCAAAATTAATCTATTGGACACTTAGGATTTATGTGCTTTACTGCATGTAAATTGGGGGTTATTTTTTGTGATCTATAAGTAAAAAAGTGATTAAACTTAAGTAAACCTTATTTTTACTGGGGAAATCTGGGTTTTCTGTACCAGGGAATGGGCTGAAGATGCTCATGAAGAGGGCTCTGAAGTTCAAGGACCCACTGCTGATGAAAATGATTAGGAACATTTCCCAGCATGATGGACCAACTAAAAACTTATTTATTGTAAGTATGTAGTTTTTGGCCTGCTGTCTATTGAAATGGCTTGAGAATGGAAATTTTAAAATGCAACATTTGGAAATGTGACTTTTACTGAGCTATCATCAAATATTAACTCATGACCCAAGTTGGCTTTCTATCATCAACTTCTTTATAAGAGTAACTCCTAGAAATTTTAGTCTAGGTTTCAATGTTTTTGTTTTATGATCCTGACCTCTAGCTCTTCCATCCTCACTCCAGTTTTCTTGCCTCAAACCAGCTCAAAATTATTAAAACGAGTATCACTTTTGATACCTATTTTTCTTTCCCATGGGTTGAATTATTAGAGTGGTTCTTATGCAGAACTCATTTTAAAATTTGTATTAAAATTCTATTTTCTTCAGGATTATGTTGGGGATCTTGCAGCCCAGATCTCTAATGATGAAGAGGAGGAGTTTGTGATTGAGTGTTTGGGAACTCTCGCAAACTTGACCATTCCAGACTTAGACTGGGAATTGGTGCTGAAGGAGTACAAGCTAGTTCCATACCTCAAGGACAAACTAAAACCAGGTCTGTGCTGAGCATCTCACTTTTGTCTAACCATTAAGTTATTTCTTTGTGTTGTGGATAAGGCTGCTAGAGCAGTATTTTTTACCATTATTATGGTAACACATCTTCTCCCACACCTCTAGTTCTTGTTTCTTTGTTCCAGAAAGGTGATCACTAGGCCTTCTCTTATATGTGTGTACTCTTTTTTCCTAACAATATTTCCTAACACCTTCCTCATTTTGCCTTCTTTCTTATTTTTTTTTTATCCTGCCTTTTTAAAATTACCAAACGCCATCCCCTTCTGCACACACATGTACATAAACACACACACAAAGTTCTTTGGGGCATTCAAGTGAGTCTTCTGTTTTCTGTGTTTAAATTTTCATTCATTTGTATTTCCAAAAACTAATTTCTACTTCTCTGCTGCCCGCCCCCATGACTGTCATCAGTGAACATGGAAATTTGGAAAAAGACAGATATATAACCATGTTAAGGATTTATAAGAACTGATTTAATAGCTTTTAGTATCTTTTATTTATTCTGTGCATGAAAACTTTCTGTGATTTGACTTTATCAGGTGCTGCAGAAGATGACCTTGTTTTAGAAGTGGTGATAATGATCGGGACCGTGTCTATGGATGACTCTTGTGCTGCATTGCTAGCCAAGTCTGGGATAATCCCTGCACTCATTGAATTGCTGAATGGTGAACTATAACTTATCTTTATTTATTTTTATGCTAATATATTAGCAGGATATGAGTTTAAGTTTTCAAATATAAAATAGAGTCTGGAATTATGAAATCTTATTTATCTGTTACATTAATGATCTTATAGCAACTTAAATTGTATGGTTATAAAAGTGAATTAAATATAACTCTTACTGGGATTAGCTAGGGTAATATCAGAGAGTTAAGAACATTGCTACATGGAACTTTACCGTAATCTAGGGCACTCACCTGCTGATATTTTCCTTTCTGAACCCAAATAGGTCACTAGTAAGTCCAGGTCTCTGACTCTAGAGCCCCACTCTTATTGTCTGCCATACCACATGCTCTCCCTCGTACCTTTAATATTTCTGGTCCAGTCTTATAAATACAAATCTATGCATACATATGCTTAACCTTCCTAGATTATTCACATTCTCAGCTACTATCCAGGTAAGTAAAAGATTTTCTAACTCAAAGGAAAAAAAGGATATTGCTATTAAGAAATTCAGGACCAATTTTAGATACTGCCTTCCTCTCATCGTCCTTGAACAACTAATATCCCGTCATTTCTTTTTCCTGTTGACTTTGTATTTGGATCTCCTATCTTGTGCAAACCCTTTTTTAATATTTTGATTTCTAATCAGGAAAGTTTATTTGGAAGTTACTTTTAAGCATCATTATCCTCCCTAGTTCCAGACGTAGTATTGTCTTCTAAACTTTCTTTGATGAAGAGAATGTTCTTTACCAGTGCTATCCGTCACACATGACTATTGAGACTGAGAACCTGAATTTTAATTAATTAATTTTAATGTAATTAGCTACAGTGGCTTATGGTTACAAGAATGGACAGTGGAGGCCTACGTAGGGCCTTCCCCTTCCCCTTGTATTACTCTGAATGGGTTTGTTGCTCTCCGTATTGCACACAAAATGTATTCATCTAATGTTATTCTATTAGAGCCACATCTTCTAGGACCTTAGATTATTCTGCTCAGGCTGCCATTAACTAAGTTCCACAGGCTGGGTGTCTTAAACAATAGAAATTTCTGGAGGCTAGAAAGTCCAAGATCAAGGTATCAGCCTATTTCATTCCTGGTGAGGAAAATAGAACCAGATTTATTTCACGAATTAGAGCTGTTTAAAGAATTCTTATGATGGACAAGGAAAAAAACAAGTGGAGATGTGTTGCTGACTTGTTTGGTTTCTTCGTGTAGGTGGCAAACTACAGAGAAAGCTACCAGGAAACACTGTTACTGTTCTCTTAAACCAGTCTCATTCCTCGGTTCTTTCACCCTGGTCTTTTGAGATGAGTAATCTCAAGTAGTCTGATTTAAACTCAGATATGATATGATTTCTCTTTTTCAAAATCTCACTTCCTTTATCTTTGTACTCCAAAGTAACTTAACCTATTTAGTTTACAACCAAATATACTAAAACTTCTGAAAACATATTTTTAAAACCCTGGGCATGGCTCAGGGGTTGAGCAATGACCTAGGATCCAGGAGATCGCGGTTCGATTCCCGGTCAGGGCACATGCCCTGGTTGCTGGCTCGATCCCTAGTCGGGGGCGTGCAGGAGGCAGCCAATCAATGACTCTCTCTCATCATTGAGGTTTCAACTCTCTCTCTCCCTCTCCCTTCCTCTCTCTAAAATCAATAAAGATATATTTAAAAAAGAAAAAATAATTTCCTCACTGTCATTGTCATGTAATTTAGAAAAACACCTAAGACATAAATGACATATGCCACCCATATATTATAAATAATTGTCTTTTATCTCTCTCCTTGTCACTTTAAGATTTTTTATTCAGTGTTTTAAATTTTGTATATAAACATAGTATTCTTTTGTTTAAAGTTTTCTTTCTTTCAGCTCAACAAGAAGATGATGAATTTGTGTGCCAGATAATTTATGTCTTCTACCAGATGGTTTTCCACCAAGCCACGAGAGATGTCATAATTAAGGAAACACGTATCCTTTCAATGTTTACAATAGATAATGACATTTCACCTATTCACCAAAGATGCATCTTTAGGTGTTTTTTTCTTGCAAATGTTCAAATAATGTAGAAAATATCAAGCTTTGAAATACATTTAGAGGGCAAGCTATTTTTCATGGAAGTTATTGTCCCCAAATCAGTATACAGGTAGAATATTTTGGGGACAATTTTATCAACTTGTCAGGCTGTGATTCCTAAGGAACTTAACAAACATATCTGAACTTCCTTCTCTGTTACCATGACTTCTCCATCGAGGTCCTTAGGACCATCCTTAGTCCTCTTTTCATCTTATTTTATTCCCTCTGCATGGAAAACACATCTATTTTCATGACTTCAGCAACCAACTATATGCAGAGTATTTAATATTTTCATAACCTCTTTCTTGAGTTCCAGGCTAACTGCTACCTGAATTTCTTACACCTACCTAAAGAGACATAGTATGAAGTACCCTAAGAATCATTTTAATCACATAATCCTAAAGGTAATTTTTAATTACCTTTTACTATTTACTAGCTGCAGGACCTTGGATAAGCTACTTCACCTGCTTGAACATACAATCTTGCATCTATAAAATGACCATAATATTATTAAATAGCAAGAGGGCCTCCTTATAGGATTATTATAAGTACTAATGGATTTGAAGTGCTATAGTAGTTCAAAGCAGAGAGTTACTCAGTAAGTGGTAGTTTATTGCATCTAAAAGGATTCTTGATCACCTGGAACTCAAGAAAGAGGTTTTGAAAATATTAAATACTTTGCATATAGTTGGTAGCTGAAGTCATGAAAATAGGTGTGTTTTCCATGCAGAGTGAATAAGATGAAAGTTTTAAGTGTTAGATGTACTCAAGGAGTTTATAGACTATTAGAGAGTTAGACAATTAAATAAGAAATATAAAATTATAACCCAGTGTGATCACTGTCATAAAAGTCATGTGCAGAATACATAGGAGAGGATATATAACCAAGTCTGGGGATGTCAAGAAAGGATGGTAGTGGAAGTGGTATCTAAGCTGAGTTTTTGTCTTTGCTTTTTTTAAATTGTGGTGGTCTGCTTGTTTGTGGACCAAAAGAAAAATCTGCGTTAGAAATCCGCTGCATAAAATTCTTCATTACCCGTGTGAAAAATATAAATTCTGTGGCTTAGCATACATACCCCTTCATAACATGACCTTAACCTAATTTTCCAAAGTTCTCCATTTAACCTCACTATACACAATTTTCTCTTAGCACACTAAATTTTTCATCATTTATCAGACATGACCCCTACCTTGTCATAACTTACTGCCTCTTCAGGTGCCTTGTCAACCTCAAAAATATTTCCTTTTTTTACCTGACAGTCTCCAACTCAGCAGAGATAAGGTTATGAGCTGTCTTCTGAGTTAAGCCTTTCTAACCCTGTGCCTCCCTCCTTCCCAGCAGGAGTAATAACTAGTTCGCACTCTTGAATAATAATTTGACAGAATATGGACTCCTGGCTTGCCAGTTATTTCCCTCAGCAATTGGAACGTATTTTTCCACTGTCTTCTGGCTTGAGTTGCTGCCAATGAGAAATCTGTAGTCTACTAATTATTGGTATCTGTCCTAAAGTCTGATGACAACTTACTTTTCTTTCCGTTATAAGTGAGTCCGTCTTTTTGCCAGGATGACCAAAGGAATGTTTCTGTTTCTTTAAAGCCACGTAGTTTTATTAGAATTTGATTTGGTATTTATCATCCTTGCTTGATTTTTCCAAGTATGCAAATGTGCTCTTTCAGTATATAGTTTTGTCTTTTTTTTTATTTCAGGAAAGTTTTCTTGAATTATAGTTTTTAGTATTTGTCCTGTTGCTTTGGTTGTCTCCTTTGACATTTATGCTATGTTGGATCTTCTTTACCTATCTTTAATACCTGTTTCTAATTTTTATATCTTTTCATTTGTTCTTTAATTTTAAAATTTTTCTCTTTTTACCTTCTATTTCTCTTATACTTTTATCTATTATTTTTATTTAATCTTGTGTTGTTATAAATTTAGTTTTTATATATCTTAAATGATTTTTACTTTTATTTTTCTTTCCTGAAGTATTTTGTTTCAGATTTTTCTAGTTCTGACTTATATATTCTTTCATATACTGTTGTTTTCTCTAATTATTTTATCTCTTTTTGAGATATCAGATTGCAGGCTTTATCTTTTAAGTAAAAATATCTTGTTTTCCTTTTCTTATAATAACCATATAGGGAATTTGACTATAATTCTTTTCTGTTGCTCTTTTAGTGTGAAATTAACTTTTCTGAACTTTTAGCAGGGCCAGAGAGATCAAGAAAACATTATAGCTACACAGCAATAGAGCTACCTCTTCAACTATTTTCCCATTTTCAAAATATGACCTTGTACTTTCTAAAATTTACTGGCTATTTTTCTTACACATTTTTATCTAGGTTTTTTTTCTTTCTCATTCTTGTTTTTTAAACAAATGAAATATTAAACGTTTCTGGTCATCTTGTATTGATGATTTTATTTCAAAATTTGCAGTTAAATTTCAAGTTGTCATTTGAATTTAGAGAAATGTGGGATTTTCCAATAGGTTTAATAGCCTCAATCTCAAATGTCATTTGTGTCTTTAACCACTTTATTCAGAGGCTCCAGCATATCTCATAGATCTGATGCATGATAAAAATAATGAAATCCGAAAGGTCTGTGACAATACATTAGATATTATAGCGGTAAGTAATTTATCTTTCCACACATTTGGGGAGAAAAGACATTGCACACCTATTTAGGACATTGCATTCAATGTAAAGACAAATTTGTCTTTTGGTAAAGCTCAGAATTTACACTGATAAAAAATTCATTTTTAAAACATTATTAAGATTTTTGGCTCTTTTTTTAAATATGTTTTTATTGATGAGAGAGAGAGAGGAAGGAGAAGGAGAGGGAGAGAGCGAAACATCAGTTGGTTGCCTCCAGCACACCCCCTTTCTGGAGACCAGACCAGAAACCTGGCCTTGTGCCCTGACTGGGAATCGAACTGGTGACCTTTTGGTGCACAGGATGACATTCAACCAACTGAGCCACACCGGCCAGGGCTCTTAACTTTTAAGTATAAGCTTCTTACATAAAGAGGTTTTATATAGATTTAGAGTTTTAGGTATGTTCTACATGTCATCTCAGAATCACTTGTTTTTCAGAGAAATTATTGTGTAGGAGCAGGGGAATTGATGGCAATTTCTGCCAGAACTAAACACAGTCACTTTGCAGTTTGGCCATTAATTTTTTTAATAAATATATCAACTATTTTTTGAATTCTCAGAGATGTATGTGAAGCATCTATTGCATGATGGTCACTCAATATGCTCTTTTCAAACCAGACCAAAACTCAGACCTAGTTAAATTTATATGTAGAATTAAATCTCTGGATCAGTATTTCCCTTTTTTTAGTACAGATAATTATATTATTTTCTGTTCATTTTAATTTTTAAAATGGTATGGGAAGATTGTCTGTTCACTATTTGGATTTTAACTGTGAGAAGTTATTTGGAATATATATTTTAACCAGACATATTACTATGTATAGTTTAAGGTTATCCTGCAAATGGCTGAATTTGCATTTTAAAACTTCATGTCAAGACAGTTAACTGAATGGGGCAATTAGTTGAAAGGTCTGGGGTTGGACAGTGTCATAAAGAGGGAGCTGCCTTTTCCAGTACAGAAGTACCTCATCTGTTCACTTAGCCGAGTTCTGAACTGTGGTGCCTTATTGGGTTTGGACTCAATTTATCAGCTAGCCTCAGACCACAGTTACACTCCTAGCTTGCTGGACCTCCTTATTTGGGAGAAATTTGAGGAGTGGGTATTTTAACACATCAGTAAAAAGACAGCTTCTCGGGCCACTTGGGACATAGCTGCCAGTCTTAGGTTCTTTGAGCCCAGACTCTATTACTGATCATGACTCAGGGTGCTATTTGCTTGTCCTGAATCTTTTTCAGGAGTAAAAAAAGAGGAAATTGACTTAATTTGAAACAGGGGAAACTTTGATTAGGCACAGCAATGATGATGAAACACTAGAAATAGGCTGTCAGGGGAGAATGTTATGTCTCTGTCCAGTTAGATCAGCAAAAACCCAATAACCAACTGCCTAGGATGGAAGTGGATGAGATCTCTTCAGACTCTTTTAACCTCTAGATTTTTATTTCCTAGTATCTCAGATTGACTATGTCCTATACTAATAAAAAATCCCCCCCAAAAAGAGAGAATGAGAATATTCACAGCTTAAGGCAACTTATTTTTAAGAAAACAAACTTCTTTTTCACTCAAGACAGGACAGCATGGAATAGTACTAAGAAAAATTAGATGCCTTTCAAGCATTAAGGAAATAATGCCTTCTGCAATAAAGTACTTGTCCCCAAAATTATGGAAATATTACATTAGTGATGATTGTTTAATGTATTTGGGCCCAAGCCCTGGATTGGTGAACTGAAACAAATGTGTGGTGGTAGTAGCCTTTGCACCATGGAGTATTACATATTTGGTGATGCGGTCTCTGTGGCCTCATCAGCAAGTTGTCACCTGTCTGACTAGGCCTTAAATGTAGTTTCAGGAGGCAGAGAATGGGGTAGGTGCCAAGAGGAGCAAGGAGGCAAGGAGAGAGGAGCCTAGTAGCTTCTTGGTCTGCAAAGGGGATTCTGTGGCAGTTGACCGTTGCCTTTTCTCTTCCAAGCTTTGGGAATCTTGAAGGGAAGAGCAGAACCCTCTCTACAGACTGAGCTTCTAAAACCCAGACAGACCTTTACCCTTCAGTGCTTCAACTTTGAAGTATTTGAGAACCACATAAATTCTTCCAATTGCCAAGGAAATTCCTCCCCTGACTTTACTGGGTTTTCATACATGTGATACATGTTTATAAAACACATACTGTTTACCTACTAGGGTATACACTAGGACTACAAAACTCCACAACATAAAGTCCCTAGAATGTACAGGTTTACCATCTGGATTCTAGAGATCACTAGGGTCCCATCGTCTAGACGTGAGCTGGCCTTCCAGGAGCAGTATGACTACATGGCCCTGCCCATCCATGTTCCGTACCAATGGCACATTGTGGCTACAGGATGTTTACAGGAAAAGAAATGTACCAAGTTCTCTAGGAAAGATTGATGTCTGTTGTCTGTAGTCAGCCATAGGCCCATGTGATTTGGTACCAATACAAGTTTGTATTGCTAACATTTTTAATGGCAGCCCTTTTTCTTTTAGGAACTCTGATCATGGGCAGATTGTGTGTATTTCAACAATCTGGAATTAATAGCTAGCCCCAGTATTTTAAACTTGGAAAACAAGGTTGTATCTTCATTCCAGGGTAGACAAAATCATATTTAATAAGACTGATGTATTGAGATAAACTAATGTAGGTTTACATGTGACCTCTGAGACCTCAATTGTTATGGTCTCCAAAAATTAGAAGGAAAGCCTGTGTCAGACAGAAAAGCTGAGTTTATTAATAATATTGCCAGGAAGGGAGAGCACTTTAAAAATGCCTCATACATCTTTAAGAGGGAAGTTATAGAGGAAGTTTCCTAGGGGTAGGAAGAGGGTTAGCATTAGGTCAGATTATTTCAGGACAGGCTTTCAAAAGCAGTGAGTGGGTAGGAATTGGGTAAGATTAGTAGACGATAGTCACTGTTAATTGACTTGCAGGTTGGTTATAAACATAGAGCAGATTTCTAAGTTGACAGAAGCTTCTAAGATGTTCTTTCTAGAGTAGTTGAAGTTCATTATTCCTTGTTTCACAGTCTTGGTAAATTTTCATTTCTCAGATTTGTAAGTTTGACTTTTATGTCTCAGTTCCATACAGTCAAATTGGGTTTAGTGAGATAAGTTTGGTTAGCCTTCTTTTAGAGTTCATTTTTACATTGCGTAAACCTGAAAGGCAGACATTTAAGGTATTTTTTTCCAGCTTTTTAGAATTTACATATTCACACACACACACACACACACACACACACACACAGACCAGATCCTTGAATAATGTCATTTCGTTAAAGTCATTTCTTTATAATATTGAGGAGATGCCCTAGGAACTTAACTTTTGTTTATATCCATTAGCCTACAGTACAATTGGTTTAGTATGTCATTTCACTTAAAGTCACAGAACATATTGACAACATTAAGTGAGGACCTACTATGTATTGTATATATGTATATGTATATGTGTGTAGTATATGAATGTGTGTGTATCCCTGCCAGTCCTATGCATGTTACTTTATTGTTTTTTTAATTGGCAACAGTTGGATTGAAAAGGCTGCAAGCATAATATGAAAGATAAAAGTCATGATTTCTTGCTTAACTACATTTTATGTAGTTCTATCTTTTCCTTTGTGGTCTGACTGGACATGATATTTAAAGTGATATTACACAAATGAGCCCCCTCAGTGCTTTAAACAGAGATTGAAGAGATAATTCGACTGTGAGGTCTGGTTAGGAAATGCCACAGTCAAGACTAAAGGGCAGCACTTAGGACAGTACTATTGCAAAATAGGCAGTATGTGCATTAAAGTCAGCATCTCTGTTATGTACATGTTTAATTATGTGTATCTACATATGCATGTTGTATAATATCATTGGGCGAAGTCATTTCTTAGATAGAAAAGGCATCTTTTTAGCAGCTACTAACTTAACCTTAATGAGCAACTAAATTACTCTAGATCTGCTTTAATTTAGTATGAAGAATTGTATTAAATAAACCATATTACATTCTCACTTAGGGGCTGCCACATTAAAGGAGAAGGAAAGTCTGTTTTTCATCAGGAGTTCTAGGACACAGAGCAGATCTGTGTAGCTCTGTGTTATCCTGTACTGTGTTAATCAGATACAAGGTGTGACGGAAGCCAGTGACAGTTTTCCTGATAGTGAACAGGCTCTGATAATAGGCTGGCTAAGGCTTCGTACTGTTTCAGGGGTTAAGTAGTAAACACAACGATATAGGACTTCAAAAAAGATGGCACATTCCATAGAAAGTCAAACCATAAGTTTTTCATGACACTTTAGAATTTATGGAAACTGAGCGCTTACGATCATAATGTCAGGAGCTGAGGAGAAAATAAAAGACATTGTGTGTGCACCTTTAAATATTAGACAAACTCAAGTCTCAAAGTGAGGCTATCAGGGTGCACTCCTTGTGAAAAGAAGCATTTCAAAAATGAGGAAATAAACTACAAGTGTCCCCCAAAAATGTATACACACTGTAACAGTTGGTAGCTCAATTCTGAAAATGAAGTGTATTTTTTTTTTTAAATATATCTTTTTGTTGATTTCAGAGAGAGGAAAGGAGAGGGAGAGGAGAGACAGAAACATCAATGATGAGAGAGTCATTGATCAAGCCCGCAACCGGGCATGTGCCCTGACCGGGAATCGAACCCCAATCACATGGATCCTAGGTCAATACTCAACTGCTGAGCCACACCCAGCCAGGCTGAAGTGTATTTTAATAAACACTGCCTTTACCATTATTCAAAGTGTGCGTATACATTTTGGGGGGACATCCTGTATATTTCTAGAGTATTTCCACAATGGCTTGACAGATTGTTATATGTCTTAGCTGTGACTTAACTCTGACATCCCTTAATTTCCATAGTTACTTCCCGATAGCGAGGGGTAATGATGGAAGAGCGAAGTAGAGATTTGGAGCAGAAGGGTTTGAGGGATAGATGTGATTGACAAATGTTGAATT